GTCCGCGGAACTCGCGCCCTTCGCCATCGCCTTGACTCCTGGCCGCCATCCACTCAGGCCGCACACCCCCAAACCAGGCGCTTCCTCGAAAGTTCGAGGAGCCGCTCGTTCCAGCGGCGAGGGCAAGGCCACTCCGTGGGCTGCGCCATGTTCCATATTCCTTGCCACAACTTTTCCCTCACGGAGTTTTTTCCACACGTCCCCCTCCCAGCTCCACGATCTGCCCTCCGCTGTCCCTCTCAACCCAGACTTGTACGCGAGCAAATCACTGGCTTACAGATTTGCTAGGACGGCCCACTCTCGGGAGCGCGTTTACCGGTTCCCTCAACCCACGCCTCTTCCCCGCCCCCGCCCCGCCCCAAGCGCGCGGCCTTTTCATAGGTCGAGGGGAGGGAAAGTGTCAAAACTAGCGCTCTTAGTCAAAAGTAAGCCACACGGGTTTGGCATCCACAGGGGCCTTAACTTAGTTGTCGAGGCATGACACACTTTTTAACGAAGTCAGAAACCAGGGCCTATGTCGAAAACCACAAACAGAACCCGCCCAAGCTACCCATTTTCAACCATGAAAAATCAAATGTTCATACCCCGGGCCTCATCGATCCGGTGTTTAAGGGCTGTCCTTCGGAAGCCGGGTCCCACAGGCCTGGATCCCACTTCACAGGCTTCCACATGGCTGAGCAGTGATCCGAGCTGAGTCCCCGCGGCCGTTGGCGTCCGTTGGCAGACCAGAATGAGGCAGTGTGCCCCAAAGCCTGCCGGGATAAAGAGAGAATTGGGCTGTGGCCACGCCCCCTTGGGGGTGCCCTCGTGCTCCTGCGGCCCAGCGCGTGCGCTTTCTTTCCCGCCATGCCCCGCTTCTGGTTGCCCCGCTCCCCGCTCCCCCCTTCCTCCTTCCCTCTACCTCCTTGCTCTCATGCGCACGCCCCTGGAAATTACAGAAAACACTTCTTAAAAATTATTTTATTTTCATACCTAACTTTTAAAAATATTTAACAAAAAAAAAAAAAAATTGAAGTGTTTTTTACTGTATCTCAACATTGGTGACTGACATGAATTCAAATTGCTCTGACCTTGGTTCCTTGGAAAAATTTAAAAATTAAATGTAGGGGCCAGCAGGTGGCATGGGGGTTAAGGGCGCTGGACTCCCACAGGATCAACCATGGTTCGAGTCCTGGACCTGGTGGCTTGCTTTCTCACTTTCCATCTCTCTCGCTTTCTCTCGTTCTGTCCCTCTTTGGTCAAATTAAAGTAAATAAAATAAAGAGTAAAGGCAAAATTCAAGTAAACTTTAAGGTGAAAGCAGACTAGGCCAATGGGATGTAAATATTACATAGATTTAGTTGTATCGTTGTATAACATATTTTGCTTTGTAGAGAATGTTGAAACGGTTTAAGATGGTTTAAGACATTTTTAAAGCTAAAAAGAGATTTTTAATGCAAAGAAATTAAACAGTTTTCATCTGTTAGGCACAACCGGGCTGGAGGGGACTTAAATTCTTAATTAGTGGCCACTGTCTTTATAATCCTGATGCAATGGAAATATTTGAAATCCATCTCTACATTCTGTATATGAAGTATTTGGCTGATCACTTACACATTTTACATGTATGGACTCTATTACATTGTGGAAATAATAACCCTGATTGCTAAATTGCCATTCTCACTAAGTAATCTACTTCCCATATTTCTTTTCTTGTTGCTGTTTAAGTCTTGTGATATGGCACATACACTCACCGGAAAGAGAGAGATAAGAGAGAGGGAAAGTGAAAAATCACCCCCCGGGGGGAATGTTCATGCTGCAATCCCTTCTCCACCATTCTCCTCTCAGAATTTTGGAAACACACACACACACACGCACACACACATGCATGCACACATACATCCAGCATGTTATTTTCTCTCTCCCGCCCTTTTTTTTTGAGAGAGGCTTTCACCCTAGTGCACTTGTACACACCAGAGAGAGAGAGAGACAGAGGCAATGAGAGGGAAAGTGAGAAACCATCCCCAGGGGGGTGGCAACACCACAATCCCTTCTTGTCCATTCTCCTCCAGGGATCTTGGGCATGCACGCACATGCAACCAGCGTAAGTTTCAAGCCATAGGGTCTGGGACTTGACTGCAGTCGGCCAGGTGGGGGTCTGGTGATATAACTGCTATGCCATCTGCTGGCCCTGCCCTACATGTTTTTCAAGCCACTGCTTTGAATTGTGGAGTCGGTCATATGGGATCCAGTGCCTTAACCTCCACATCACCTGCTGGCCCCATATTTCTCTTTCTAACATGAAATTACTCTAAAAATGTAATTTGCATGATCTGTATTAAAACATCTTCTCATGCGGGGCGCGTGTACGTGCGTGCCCAAGATCCCAAGAGGAGAATGGAGGAGAAGGGATTGTGGCATGGCCATCCCCCATGGGGAGTGATTTCTCGCTTTCTGTCTCTCTGTCTCTCTCTGATTTTCTGGTGAGAGAATGTGCCCTGCACCAAAAAAAAAAAAAAAAAAAAAAAAAGACAACTCTCAAAAAAAAGGAAAGAAACAATCTTGGGCCAGCTCTGTGGCCCGGTGGTTTAGGTAGCTGGATCCTACATGGCTGACTATGCCAATACAAGTCCTGCACCCAGTGGCTTGAGAAGCACTGCATGTGTGTGCATGCATGCCCGAATCCTGAAAGGAGGGGAAAACGGAGGAGAAGGGATCCCTGTGTGACCATTTCCTATAGGAGGGGGGTGCTTTCCCTGTTTCTGTTTTTCCTCTCCTGCTCTCTCTGGTCAGTGTATATACCCATCTAGCACAAATAAATAAATAAATACAACTCTTTTAAAAAGTGATTATATTAAATATGAGTTATTGACGATAACAACAATGGCTACCATTTATTGAGTATTCTACTATCTGCTGAGAATCACTCTAATCCTTTTAGATATAAATTTCCATTACTTCTCCACATTTTGGCTAAGATTAAGTGTAGATACAAATTCCCAGTATTTGCAATATTCGTTCACAACTTCCTATGAGGTAGGTACTATTAGTCCCATTTTACAAATGAGGAAAATGAATACTACCTGGCAAATAAGTGGTAGAGTTAGCTTTTGAACAGAGACTTGAATATTTCCTAATAATTCCTTCCAACCTTGTCATTGATCATATGCTTTTAGTATACACTATGCACATAAACTCTCAGTAATAATTATCTTATTTACTTACACCCTGCTTTGCTCGCTTGGCCAAAATAAATCTGAGACTACTTTTAAGTATTAACATAGGTGGGAACATCACTGTTTCTTTTCTATGATATGAAAATGTCTTGCACATAGTAGAAACTTGCTCAGTATCTGTTGAATGAGAAAACAGATGAATGAATACCTACCATTATGATGTTCAATTAATTTTGCCTAAAAAACATGAAAATGAGATTCTTTGAACTGAAAGAGTAAGAACTAAAGCTGATAAAATTCAAAGTTCTTGTGATTTAATTATCAAACCTCAGAGGTGCTCCCATAGTTCTCCGGACTCAGCCCCAAAGCCTGTGACAACCTTAAAGAAAATACATCACCTCACCTGGCCCAAGTTCAGTTTGAAACATGCCTTTATCTCAAGTGTGCTTCACTACTTCCTTCTGTATTCTTCTTGGAAAACATTAATATGAGTCAAACAGAAGGAAAAGAGCATCTTTTTTCCTAGATAAAGTTGTTTAATCTAGATTTTCGCCCACACACATGCATAGATTGAGACAATATTGTTTTCATACATAACGTCTTAGGACGATTAGTGAAGACTCCCTCGAGTTTCACCACTTCATATACTTCTTTTTTCCTAAAACACAAAAAGCCTAATTAAGCCCAAAGATCCAAGATGTTATTAATAAACTCACCTTAGTGAAAAATCCATGTAGTATTATTAAATAACTAATAAATTAATATATTAAATAACTAATAAATTAATATATTAAATAACTAATACATTAATTTAAATGGTAGCTGAGTTTACAAACATCTTCAGATCCTTGTTTCTAACACATTGTCCTCTTCCCCATTAAACCAAGAGCTTATATCAGTAAGAAATAAATTGATTTTAGTATCACGGTTGGTTCCAAAACCCTCTTTCCTGGCCCAGCGCAGTAGCACAGCAGTCCTGTCATGCTGGGAATGCTGAACTCGCTTGCGAATGTCACCCTTTGACCACTGGGTACACACATGCATGCCCATGTTCCAGGCTAGCTGAAGCTGGGGGCAGGTGGAGGCATGAAAATCGTGTTAGGAGGATATTTTGGCCCCCACCCCACCCCCTAGAAAAAACAACTAAACTTAAAAGATGAAAAAAACAAAAACCTCTTTCCTAACTTAAAAATAGTAACTTTCCTGGGAAAACATCAGAGGTAAAGTCTATGATAGGGAGAAAGAAAATCTAGTCTAACAGGAAAGCAATGGATTGCAGTAAAAGGAAGACACTGCTACGATGAGAGATGGGAGCTTTTGTTTGCAACCTCGAGTCTATCATCAGCTAACTGTATTTCCTTAGAACCTGGCCATGCCTCTGGGTTTTCTAAGTTTTTATTTTTGCTTTAGTTTTTAAAACGAAGATAATAAAATCCATTACACTTACCTCAAAGGTGAGATAGCACTATTCAAAAATACCAGAAAATCACATGGTCTTTACAGAATGGATCCCCACACTTAAAACAAAACAAAACAAAACAAAGACAAAAACAGGGGTCACCAGGTGGCATGGTGCTGGATTCCCACATGCTTGACTGTGCTTTCAGTCCTAGACCCAGCAGCTTGAAAATCATACTGGGGAGGGGAGTGGGGAGGAGAACCAGCAGTCGGCATGGTGGTGAAGGCACTAGCTCCCCACATGGCGGACCACAGTTTAAGTTCTGGACCTGGCCGCTTGAAAGTCATGCTGGGCACGTGTGTGTGTGTGCCCAAAATCCTGAGAGAAGAATAGAGGAGAAGAGTCTGTGGCTTGGCCATCCCCCCTGGGGGGATGATTTCTCACTTTCCTACTCTGTCTGTCTCCTGCAAGTGCACACTCCCTATGGCAAAAATATAAATAAATAATTAAATAAATAGAATTTAAAACCTACAAAACAAAACTGGGCCGACTGGTGATGTGGTGGTTAAGGTAGCTGGATCCCACAGGCTGACTACACAGTTCAAGTAATGGACACAGCGACTTGCAAAACAAGCCAGGCACATGTGCATGGGTGCCCCAAAATGAGAGGAGAATGGAGGAGAAGGGGATACGGCATGGCCATCCCCACTGAGGGCAGGGGTGATTTCTCACTTTCTCTCTCTCCTCTCTCTCTCTTTCCATTGGATTCATAAGCCCTACAGCAAATTTTTAAAAAAGTAAAGTATAAATTAGTCTTTTACCAACAAAATGTCTGACATCTAAGCTGACTTCAGCCAAGTCAAATATTTTACATACTGTGAAAACTGGCATGCTCTCAATGAACATTCTGTACTACGCTAGACCATTATTACAGTCACTCAGTCTTCTATTCAAGCACCAGTGATTTTCTGAATATTTGTTGTGTGATGCTCTGTGAGGAGTAGAGATAACAAAGATGCGTAAGATGATCTGAATACTCCAGGAATTTACATCTAGTCCAAACAGGAGGGAGAGACAGACAGACAGACAGACAGATAGATGTTTGATGACCTTCAAAAGAACTAGAATCTCTTTCTTTTTGCACCCTTCATCATATCAAACATTTTTAGATGTAACCACACCATAAAAGGGGTCT